AAAATGTGCTGCAGCTATACATCTAACTATCTCACCCATCGTCACAGCATGGAAATATTCTATGATGCTCATTAATAAAATGTGCTGCAACTGTACATCTATCAACCTCACCCATCGTTACAGCATGGAAATATTCTATGATGCTCATTAATAAAATGTGCTGCAACTATACATCCAACTATCTCACCCATCGTCACAGCATGGAAATATTCTATGTTGCTCATTAATAAAATGTGCTGCAACTATACATCTAACTATCTCACCCATCGTTACAGCATGGAAATATTCTATGATGCCCATTAATAAAATGTGCTGCAACTATACATCTAACTATCTCACCCATCGTTACAGCATGGAAATATTCTATGTTGCCCATTAATAAAATGTGCTGCAACTGTACATCTATCAACCCCACCCATCGTTACAGCATGGAAATATTCTTTGCAATGCTCTTTAATAGGTTTCTCAGTTTCACCAATATACTTTTCGTTGCAAATCCCACAATAGTTACTGTAAACTACATCCTTCTCCATACATATATTCAAAAGTTGTAGATTACATGTTCTACAGTCGTTTCTCTGTCAATGGTCACGGGGTTTAAATGCTGTGCTTCACTAATTGCGAGTTGACGGACTTCCTGGCTTTTTTATCCCTCACAACATTCTTAATAATATTTGTAACCTTAAGACTAATAAAAGGGATTTTATAAGCAGAGTTTTCTTCCTAAGTTCTGATCTTTTTTCTTTGTTTGTCATGAATGGTGAAAATTTTATTAACCAAGCTTTCAAAATCTCTTGGGGATCAACCTTGATGCGTTAAATTACTTTGAAACATATTTTGTTTTCTATTTTAAATTAATAGTTTCCTTTTTAGTTTACTTACTGATTATAAGTTACCACTATCAATTCTAAGATTTAAATATACTGTTAGATTGTTGAATATTGATTTAAATACTATAAACTTCTTTACCGTTAAAATTTGTGTACTTGAGAATGATTGTACCAGTGATCGAAACGCCGTAACTGTTTAAAAAATATGCTTATATTATTGTCATAAATTTATTATTGTTGATAACATAATCTTTTTGTTAGACGATACATAAAAAGTCATTGTTATTATTTTGATGTGCATTAGCTGTATATTCTGTTAAGATTGGGCTGTGTTCAGTCAGATTTTTACCTGTTAATAAAACCGTGAGGTGAAACGTTGAGGACACAAATACTTTTCACTGGATACTGACTGTTTTCTTTATTACACATTATCAGATTGTTGGGATTACAAGAAGCAAACTCAAGAGCAAGATTCGGGCTATAAAAGAAATGCAGCTATTGCATATAATATAAATACTTATCACAAATCGTATATGTACAAGCTATGCCAGTATTTGTACGTTTCGCGTAAAATTCAATATTATTAAACACTTTGAAAATATTATTTGAAAATAATATACTATAATGACAAATATGCGTAATTCAGGACGCATTAGCATTAATAAATACAGTAGTAATCTATATAAACTGCCTTATCGTTGTCGTGCTTAATAGTATGCATTTAATCTGTTCTATGATAACTCTAAGTTCTTCTAAAGTATCAAAGTCTAATTTATTTTTTTACTTTCACTGCTAATTCTTCAATATCCTTGGATCTAAGTTAAAAGAAGACGAACAATTTTTATTGACAACTGAACAGATTACTTACCCTCTAATGCCTTTAAGGTTAACAATGGATCTTCTGTGACGTCAGAATTGGACAATGAAGGGCGGGAGGTCACTGATATGTTAAGCGTTGAACTACCTGTATCCTTTGTGTTTCTGAAAGGCGATGGTCTTGACAATGATGACTGACCTTCAGCCTCTCCTTGACACGGAAATAACCCGTCCTTCAGACCTTCCACGATGAGTTCAGAGGCTGAATGCGGCTGAGAAACATATGGGAGTCTCAGAGTAATTGGATTCCACAGGGATGACCAACCAAAGTTTGGCAAACATTGAAGGGGCGAAGAAAGAGCAGTGAACTCTTGAGGTCGGTGTCGTTGCATCTTGTAGTTGTAACTCTTCTTGAAAGTTTTCGGTTTCTCACACACGGACGCAAGATGTATTTGTTGAGAAAACTGGTTTTATCCACGATTGTTTCTTTGAACGCAAGGAGATATGTTTTAAATGTAAGTGTTTACACGCGACGTGTATTACAATTTACATAGTAAATCTATTTAGCTGTGTGTGTGTGTGCTTTTTTTTCCCTCTGGCTATTAACTTGAAAACAATAAGTTAAGTGGAAATTATTCTCAATCAGATTTGGATGAATGCACCCTTGCGACGAATTATCGTGGCTGACACGAGCGGGGTAAATAAATGACGTCATTTGGAAAGGTGGGCCCAACTGCTTTTCTGTTACCAAGGTATAGCCAATCACTTTCAAGCAAAACACATCGTAAGTTTTGTGTTGTGTTATGCGAAGTCATGTTTTAAAAAACAATTGATCGCACTGTCTTGAATTCTATTCACGAGAAAGAAGGCGTGGTTTGGAGCACAGCGAGCCAGTCATCACCGTTATTTTGACTCAGCAATGAGAATGATTCTTTTTGCTTATGGTACGTGTTGAGGCTTTATCATAGCAACCATGATTGAAGGCATGATATTTCATTCTGTTATTTAAGAACGGAAAAACTGGTTGTCTTATAATTGAAACAGTCAGAGAGCATACGTGATAAATGTAACTTGTATTCATCAATTTTAGTGCTGTGTGCGAGGCGAAAGGAAATATGTTTTTATATGTCAAATAATTTAAAAACCAGAAGTGGGAAAGTAATTTCATAGAAAATAAAGCTTTATTAGTTAGAAACCAAGATCGTGTAATTTATTAAGATATTCATTGGTTTAACAAACATCACTTGCATTTCAAATATAACTTATAAGATATAACCATTAGTGAGTTGAGTAGTTTTTATACTGCCATATTGGACAATAAACAAAAGGCTTTACGGTTTAATGAATAAGTTAAAACATGAGTTTATTTCTTCTATTTAATGGATGTAAATCTTTAAACAGTAATTCTCCTTTGAATAATATTTACAACTATACTTTAACAATGTGATGTTGAAAATCCATTTTAGTTCAACACGTAGATATAGCGTTATCGGTGACTAAATTTTAATAAAGGTAACGTGCCCCGGCATGGCCAGGTGGATAAGGCGCTCGACTCACAATCTGAGGGTCGCGGGTTCGAATCCGCATCCC